TTTTGGATCTCTATTTGAACACATAAATGATTAAAACACACTTATAATTCCTATTAACTACCTAATTGTCCCAAGTTGTTGATTTTATATCAAATTTCAGCATTATCAATTCCAATTAAGAATAACAAACAATTATTAACTTATTCACATAAATTAACAAGTTCAACAATCACATAAGAACTGGTTTAATAGGTATCAAGCTTAAAGTTTATGGCCTAACTCGGAATACAAAAACTAATGAATACATGATGGTAGCTAAGTATGTCGATAGTGGAAGTCTTCATAAATTTTCAAGGTCAGAATTTAAGAAACTTACGTGGCAGACTAAATTAAGAATACTTGCCAATATTTCAGAAGAGTTAAGCAGCATCCATCATGAAGGATATATTCATAGAAACCTTCACAGTGGAAATATTTTATTAGATAAAAGCATGCAAACCTACATATCGGATCTAGCACTAACCAAAAAAGAGGATGAAAATGTCATAAAAGACAATATTTATGGAGTTATGCCCTATGTTGCACCGGAAGTTTTATTAGGAAAAGGGTTGACACAAAAAGCTGATATTTACAGCTTCGGTATTATTATGTCAGAAATATCGACCGGGCGAAGACCTTTTGATGGAGAGAAATTTGATGAAGATCTTGCGATGAAGATTATCATTAGAACACGTCCAAAATTCGCCGACAAAACTCCCAAATGCTATATCGAATTGGTAAAGCAATGTACAAATTCAAAACCACAAATACGACCTACTGCTTACAATATTTATAATGAAGTTAATGATTGGCTTGATAAAATAAAAGGTTCAGATTATGTAAATGAAGTTATAAAACGTAAAATTGGTTATGGACTTGATAAAATAAAGGATTCATGTAACGCAGAGGAAATTAGAAAACGTGAAACTGGATATTGGCATGATAAAATAAAAGTTTCAGATAACGTAGACGAAATTATAAGACAACATAAATATTGGCTTGATAAACTAAATGATTCAGAGGACGCAGATGAAATTAGAAAACAAATCAATGATCAATCTGATAAAATAAAAGGTTCAAATCACGTAAACAAAATTATAAATCATAAAATTATATGTTGGCTTGATAAAATAAAAGTTCCAGATAACGTAGATGAAATTATAAAACAACTTAAAGATTGGCTTGATAAAATAAATAATTCAGAGGACGTAGACAAAATTAAAAAACAAATTAATAATCAGCTTGATAAAATAAAAGATTCAGATTACGTAAAGGAAATTATAAAACTTAAAATTGAATGTTGGTATGATGAAATAAAAGACCCAGATGACAAAAACAAAATTATAAAATGTAAAGGTGATTATTGGTTTGGTGAAATAAAACCTACAGACAACGTAGACGAATTAATAAACCAATTTAAATATTGGCTTGATAAAATAAATGATCCAGAGAATGTAAAAAGCAAATTAATGATCAGTTTGATAAAATAAAAAGTTTAAATCACGTAAACGAAATTATAAGAAATCAAATCAATTGTTGGCTTGATGAAATAAAAGTTTCAGATAACATAAATGAAATTATAAAGCAACTTAAATATTGGTTCGATAAAATAAATGATTCAAGGAATGTTGACGAAATTAAAAAACAAATTAATGATCGGCTTGATAAAATAGAAGGTTCAGATCACGTAAACGAAATTATAAGAAATAAAATCAATTGTTAAATAAAAGTTTCAGAAAAAATAGACGAGATTATAAAACATCTTAAATATTGGCTTGATAAAATAAATGATTTAGAGGACGCAGACGAAATTAAAAAACAAATTAGTGATCAGATTGATAAAATAAAAGGTTCAGATTACGTAAACGAAATTATAAAGCTTAAAATTAAATGTTGGTCTGATGAAGCAAAAGTTTCAGATTACGTAACCGAAATTAAAAAGAATGAAATTAGTTGTTGGCTTGATAAAATAAAAGATTCAGATGATGTAGACGAAATTAAAAGACAAATTAAATCTTGGCTCAATAAAATAAATGATTCAGATGACGTAAACGAAATTAAAAAACAAATTAATTACTGGATTGATAAAATAAAAAGTCCATACGACATAGACAAAATTGAAGAACAAATTAACTATTGGTCTAGTAAAATTAAAGGCTTAGATAGCATAGACGGAATTACAATCCAGTTTTTGGAATCTGATAAAGTAATTAATGAATTACCATTTAATTCACCAAAACATGCAGACCACATATATACATCCAAAATTATTAATATACAAATGATATCGGGTGCACTTAAAGGTAATTTATTTAATTAATGTATTATAGTATTTAATGCTAAAAAATGCTATACTATTTTTGTTTAGGTTATGGAAAATGCGAACATTGTAATCAATATAACACAAGCGAAGCATGGTGCCAAACATGCGATCCCAATTTGGAAACTCAAGGATGGACAAGTGGAATTGAGAATGTAGATAGTTGCATTAAAGAATTTCAACTTAAGGCCTTAGCGTATACAAAGTAATTGAATGGATTCCATTTGATAGACTAAGTAATATTCAAAAAATCGATGAAGGAGGATTTGGACCTGTATATTTTGCAACCTGGCTGAATGGCATACGAAAAATTGATTATGTTAATGGGCATTATGTGAGAACAAGTGAACCATCTAGTGAAGTTGCGCTTAAAACGTTGCCCTGTTTTGAGGAAAATCCTTTTAGCTTGAAAGAAGTAAGTTGAATCTATAGTTGTTGAAATTATTTAATGCTGAATTTTGTAAAGTTGGAAAGGGACATTTGAGGACGATTTTCAGACAGACAATTAGATTGATCTAAAAAATATCGATATAGTTGCTTATGTCCGAAAATCATAATATCCAAAATCACAAAATTTGACCAACAAAGTTGTATGTTTATACTTACTACTTGAAATGTTGAGAATTTAGATTAAATCCACTTATACTTTCATATTAACAACCCCAATCATAAATTTTGATTGAATCTAAAAAAAAAAATGCCGAACAAATGTCCCAAAAATTTTTTAACTTTATATTTTATATCTAATTTTTTAATTTGCGTTAAAAATTCCAGCATTAAGAAATAACTAATCATTCATTTAAATTTACAGTTCAACAATCACATTAGGTGTGGAAAGGGCATCAAACTTAAGGTTTATGGCCTAACTCGGAATACAAAAACTAATGAATGCTTGATGGTTGTTCAGTATGCCGATAGAGGAAATCTTCATCGATTTTTGAGGTCAGAATTTAAAAAACTTACATGGCAGACTAAATTAAAACTATTAATCGATATTTCAGAAGAGTTACGCAGCATCCATTATGAAGGATATATTCATAGAGACCTTCACAGTGGAAATATTTTATTAGATAAAAGCATGCAAACCTACATATCGGATCTAGGACTATCCATAAAAGAGGATGAAAATGTCATAAAAGACAATATTTATGGAGTCATGCCCTATGTTGCACCAGAAGTTTTATTAGAAAAAGGGTTGACACAAAAAGCTGATATTTATAGCTTCGGTATTGTTATGTCAGAAATATCGACCGGGCGAAGACCTTTTGATGGAGAGAAATTTGATGAAGATCTTGCGGTGAAGATTATCATTGGAACACGTCCAAAATTCGCCGACAGAACTCCTAATTGCTATATCGAATTGGCAAAACGATGTACTCATTTAAACCCACAAACACGACCTACTGCTTCCAATATTTATAGTGAAATTAAAGGTTGGCTTGATAAAATAAAAAATTCTGATTATATAAATGATGTTATAAAACATAAAATTAAATATGAGCTTGATAAAATAAAAGGTTCATATAGCATGGATGAAATTAAACGAATTAAATTTTGGCTTAATGAAATAAAAGGTTTAGATGATTTAGACGAAATTCAAAAACAAATCAATTATTTGCTCGATAAAATAAAAGATCCAGATGACATAGACGAAATTCAAAAACAAATTAATTATTGTCTTAATAAAATAAAAGATCCAGATGACATAATCGAAATTAAAAAACAAAATAATGTTTGGCGTGATAAAATAAGAGGGTTGGATGACTTAGAAGAAGTTACGACTCAATTTTTGGAATCTGATAAAATAATTTGTGATAATTTGTCAAAACATACAGACCACATATATACAAGTAAGATCATTAATACGCAACAAATTAAATCAAAATTTTTAGGAAGTAAACTTCTTGAAATAGAAATTCCTCAAGACCCTCAAGATAGTAAACAGATTAGTTTGGAGGTAGAAAGAGAAATTTTGTAATCGATCATTAACTTTCACCGTAGCAAACACTGCCTATGTAACAGATGTAATAGCGAGATTATATGTTATCTATTACGTACCAGCTGTATGTTCTAGTCGCTTTGATAACAGGTGTTGTGAACACACATTATCAAGAACACAAATTAATGAAAAATTCTTAATCAATAAATCTAAATTCATTTTGTTACTATATTACAGTACTTATTAATTTTTACATATTAATTTGATATGAGGATCAGGATAAGGAGTTTTTGTTTAAATTCTGCTTACAATAATGAAATAATTTTATTCAAGGGAATTGCATCAAAGATCAAGGGAATTAAAAATTGCTAACAGACTGAGTTCGCTTGCAGGATACCGTTTTAAGGATTCTAAACTATGATTGGCAGTTTAAATCAATTTAATTTTACCTAATTCTATCTATCTCGAATTCGCCACCTTAAACGTAAAAATTGTTGTATCCGTACCGAATTTAATGCGTTGTATCATAGGGTGGTCTCGAACTCGCTATCTTATAAAAGTTGATGTACGAATTGAATGCGCTGCACCATAGCGTGGGACCATACTTTTGATTCTCGTTTGTGCTTCATCATATGAGCATATATCCATGTGAAAATAGTGTTGTTACTGTGCACGGTATGTAATAACGGAAGAGAAACTGATGAAGTGGAGCACTACTTTAATCATGTATCTTCAAAATTTCTAATAAAGAAAGCGTTTACGAGCGAGAATAAAATAATTAAATTAGACCGATTAAATTATGTACACTTATCATTATTTGGAAAGTGCATGTGAAATGCAATTATAGAAAGTGCATATATGCTGTGTCTACTGTATATCATTAATTGTAACAATAAATTATGTGCTACATTAGGATGGGCGTTATTTCGGGATGCGCATAGCGCTAGTGTCGAGAACATATGGGATCTCCCACAGCAAAGGGTGCATTGGGCCAAAAATTTTTTTTATTTTAATTGATTTCTTGAAGAATTAGATTAATTGGAATGCAATTTTTATAAAATTACAAAATTCTGTCCTAATGCACCCTTTTGCTGTGGGGTCCCATATAGGTTATTTTTGAAGGATCCGATTTTCAAAATAGCGCTTATGCGATAATTCATTGAATGAAATTCGTTCAATTGCATTCCCGGTGTTATAAGCTGAAATTCTCTGATACAATCATTAATATTCTTATTTTTTTCTTGCCGGGATCACATGCCAAACATCAGCTTTAAACATGTTGTCTTTATTACAATGTTTGCTTTTGCCGTATTTAGGTTACTATTTTAATCATCGTCAAATATTGTATATATTTTATATATTTATTAAAAATTTATTGTAATACTCACTGATCGAATAGAATAGTAATCTGAAGGGTATTAGTTAATAGTAAATAAGTGTTTGTAAACATGAATCGCTTAATAGATCATCTTTATACACGCCCACTAAATTAAAGTGAATGACAGCAACACTTATACAGCATAAGGAATTTATATGGCATGCGGCACATTTACTTATACGGCAAATATGCCGTATCACCGTGATATTTTTGCTGGGGTAGCTACCTCCAAAATTCTAATGTCTGCACCACTAGTGTTTACATGTCATAAATGTTACTATTGTACTATTAGATTTTTAAAGGCCAAACCTAATAAAATTAAATCATAAAATTGAAAGCTCGAAGTATAATAAAAAAATTTATGAATTTAATTTAGTAGTACTAAAAAAATCATTGCTAAATTTTTAAAAAATTTTTTATTAAATATATATACATATACTTGAATTTAACAAAGATTTTTTAACAACTATTTAAATTTAATAAAATTTTGTAGATATTATTACTCCTCTCATTTATGATAGTTCATTAATCGTAAATAACAGGTTATCATTTATTTAATAAGTAGCTGTGCGATATTGTCGCGTTAAACCAGGAACGGACGACAACTCCAACACAGAATAGTTATATAAGTTATAGTTTTGAATTCAGATAAATAAATAGAAATATCGGGTATAAAACTAAATATGGTATATATATTGATATGAGACACTATAATTTAAACAAACAAAAAATTAAACATATTAAAACAATTCACTACAATTTTCCAATGCTAACCTTAATACCTTAATAATACATAACGTCGAAACAGATATTAAAAATAGATATTTCACACCCTATACCATATGGATCCGTTCATAATAATCTGCATAATTTAGAAATGATCTTGGCAAATGATAATTATAGACTAACACAAGTTGAACCAATGAATATCGGGTGCATGCCGAGAGACAAGTTTCCTGATATGTACCTGATGATTTGCTGAATATCAGCAGCATATTGGCAGTATATTAGTAAGATATGGGAGGTAGATCTATATCAGTAACATAACAGCACAATATTGGATACCCAGATATCTTATTCTTAGCACTCTGGGCCTAAAGTAAGATATCGGGATATCCCAATATATATTTTGCTATTATGTTGTGGATATCGGCCTACCTCCTATCTTACCAATATGCTGCCAAGATATTCAGTAAATATTTGGCGGATCTATGGCAGTCTATCGGGCACATATTAGGAAACTTGTCATACGGTATTGCACCCGCCCGATATTCGTTGATTCAACCTGTGTAACATGGATAAGTTAATGAGATGTGAACAGCTCATATTAAATACTTAGATAAATTAGACCAATGAATAATCACTAAACGTAGACTAAGAGTGCTCAATGTGATTAGATGGTTATTGAGATCATTCATAAGTATTACGATTAATTGAAACGATCCTTACTGTAATTTTGCTGAAGTCTATGACAAAAAAAGATGGCTTCGAACTTTTTTTTTTTATCGCGACAAGAACCTACTTATTGGTTAAAATACTTTCCACCAATTAAAAATTGAGTTCCGCCCTATAATTTATGTGCTTGAAAGAACCTTAAATTATATGAATAAAAATTGAAACGGGAAATTAAATAATATGTATACAGTATTGATTGATACTGTAATGTTCAATTGATTAAATAAGAATAATACTTAATATCATGTGAAACCTGACATTATATTACAAAGAATTTCGTAGACCAATTTCAACTAATTACAGATTTTAGAGCTTGTATGGCTTCTTTAAATACTACATTGCTTTAAAACCATTATTACTGTAGCAACGTAATAATATTTAATGCAAAGCTTATCAATATTATTTAGCCATAACACAAGTCGTGCTTCAATAATTATGGTTTAATCTGGAGCTATATGACTTTAAAAAGCGATTCAATTGCAGCTGATGCTTAGTCATCGCTTAAGTTGCAGCTCATCGGCTTTGGTCGGCTTTGCTCCATTGTGCAGCCAAAACCGGATAAATTAAAGTTTCGTCATTAATTAATTATTTTTTACAATAAACAAAGAAATGATGAATGAATAGTTAACATTATCCAGCATAATGCCCAATCAGATATGAGATTTTGCGGACGCACATCACTTAACTTGCTATAGCGATAGTAACCATATCGATCTACTTCGTATATTGCATATCACTCCGTTCCTGGTATTTTTTTTGATTTTTACTTTATACTATACCATACTTAAATTATAATTCAAAATTTTCTATATTGCAAGAAAACTTCTTTTATAAGACAAAAAGCTCGTTTCTTGCGTAATATTTTGTACGATAAGATTTTTGAAATTTGTGCTAAGCTGTGTCGATCAGGATGGCATTGGACAATGTCCAAATAAATTGTAAGATTATTGGACATATGTCCAATTGTCCAATAATTTTATTGGACAATTTTAACAATATGACGACAAAATAATGACGTTATCAATTTTATTTAAACTTTTTTTACTCTTTAATTTACATTGATAATTTATTAATAAATGGATCTAATTCAAAGTGTCGACTTTGGCTAATTTATATTATTTGGTTTGTTTTCTTTTATAATAATCATTTATACTGTATTAAAAATTAAAAATAAATCAACTGTTATCATTGTAATTTTTGAAATACAGTTTCTAACATTCTGCTTGATTAATCATATTTCACTTGGGCAATACCAAATATATATTTTTAAAACTGTCTAGTGTGTGTATGTACATATATAAACATGTGGAATTTAAGTTGATTCAGTGGTGTGAATAGTACGTGCGCACCCATATTTTATAAATAATAAAAACAATATTATATAGTTATTTGGCAGTCGATCATAGTAAGATATTGGATAATAATAATTATCAGTATACTTTTTAAATATACTGTAAATTAGAGATTTCGTATTAGCGAATATTGGCCCGAATTAAGTTTAATTTAGGCCATGGTAAAATTAAATTTTTTTTATGTCCAATAAAAAATTTGCTATGTCCAATCAATCATCGTCCAAATATCCAATATCGTAACATGCTACGTATCCCTGATGTTGATCTTTAAATCTAAAATACAGAAATATGTGTACAAATACGGAAGACCAAATAGTATGGTAAAGGGTATATAATGCCTATTTAAAAAACTATATACCCTATATCATACAAATTTGGTCACTCATACCGTTACAATAATTAGATACATTGGCTGTTTGTTTTTATGAGTTTAAAATAATTGAACGAAATCGACAAACCTTAAAAAAAAAAGGTTAATTAATGAATACGTAGATTACAGAACTAAAATTGCCGAACTAATCTATTAAAAAGTAATAGACAGAATATTAAAACCTTTGTCAATTAAAGGATTACTGTATTAATATTTCTTATGTCTTAACATTTTGAAAAATATTGAAAAATAAAATTTTACATTACTACTTATTGATAGAAGAATTTTATCAGTTAGGACCATAATTTAAACCTTAACTGACTGTAATTAAATCGAAAACTGAAATTATTAGCTTCGAAAACTAATCTATTATTATTAGTCACGGTTAGTTACATTTTTTTTAATTATTTTTATTAATTAATTGTATATATTATGACAATACAACTTAATCATTACTAAATATAGTGCGCTTAATTCAAATTAT